TTTAATGCTTAATCTTGGGTACCTCTAGATCAGGGATGGGCAACTGGCGGCCTGGGGGCCGCATGCACCGTGCTTCCTCACTCGAAGTGGCCCTCAGATTAATTTTCGAAAATCTTTCAAAAGCTTCCTCCAATGCACAGAATCATTTCCAAATTATTATAGTTCGTCGATGGTGCTCCCTATGAAAACAAGCGGTTGCTCCGGCCCTTTTTCATTACCAAGTAAGACAGACAGAGCCATGGCAAGCAGCAGAGGTGCAAAAAGAAAAATTGACCAGGAAAATTGTGTCCTTTAAGTAAGATGGGAAACTGATTATTTGTTCATAGATTTTAAAGGTAAACCCATGTGTCGAGTTTGCTTAGAAACGCTATCAGTCATGACAGATTTCAACATAAGTTGCTATTACAACACCTTGCACAAAGTTAAATATGAGACGTATGCCACAGCTGCCAGAGCCGCCATTGTGGCCGACCTCAAATCAAAAGTACAAAAACAACAGTATTTTTTTTTTTTTTTTACCAGAGCCACAACCACACAGGAGTCTGCTCTCAATGTGTCTTACGCTGTTGCACTTGAGCTTGCCAAAGCAAAGAAGCCCTTGTCAGATGGCGAACTTATAAAGAGAAAATAGATCAACTGTTGGAGCAATTGTTAGAAAATGGAAGAGGCTAAAGATGACTGTCGGTCTCCCTCGGACTGGGGCGCCATGCAAGATCTCACCTCGTGGGGTATCACTGATGATAAGAAAGGTGAGGAATCAGCCCAGAACTACAAGGGAGGAGCTGGTCAATGACATGAAGAGAGCTAGGACCACACTTTCAAAGGTCACTGTCAGTAGAACACTACGCCGTCATGGTTTCAAATCATGCATTGCACAGAAGGTTCCCCTGCTCAAGTCATCACATGTCCAGGCCCGTCTGAAGTTTGCCAAAGACCATTTGGATGATCCAGAGGAGGCATGGGAGAAAGTCATGTGGCCAGATGAAACCAAAGTAGACCTTTTTGGTCTAAACTTCACTCGTCGTGTTTGGAGGAAAAAGAAGGATGAGTTGCATTCCAAGAACACCATCCCTACTGTGAAGCATGGGGGTGGTAACATCATGCTTTGGGGGTGCTTTTCTGCGAAGGGGACAGGACGTCTGCACTGTATTAAGGAGAGGATGAATGGGGCCATTTATTGTGAGATTTTGAGCAACAACCTCCTTCCCTCAGTCAGAGCATTGAAGATGGGTCGTGGCTGGGTCTTCCAACATGACAACGACCCGAAGCACACAGCCAGGATAACCAAGGAGTGGCTCCGTAAGAAGCATATCAAGGTTCTGGAGTGGCCTAGCCAGTCTCCAGACCTCAATCCAATAGAACATCTTTGGAGGGAGCTTAAACTCCGCGTTGCTCAGCGACAGCCCTGAAACCTGACAGATCTAGAGGAGATCTGTGTGGAGGAGTGGGCCAAAATCACTGTTGCAGTGTGTGCAAACCTGGTCAAGAACTACTGGAAACGTTTGACCTCTAATTGCAAACAAAGGTTTCTGTACCAAATATTAACACTGATTTTCTCAGGTGTTCAAATACTTATGTTCAGCAGTGCAAGACAAATTCTTTAAAAAAATCATATCGTGATTTCCTGAATTTTTTTTATTTTTTTTTATTCTGTCTCTCAGAGTGGGAATGCACCTACAATGTGAATTTCAGACCCCTCCATGATTTCTAAGTGAGAGAACTTGCAAAATCGCAGGGTGTTCAAATACTTTGTTCCTCACTGTAACTCCAAATAGTCTATAATTGTTTCAGAATCAGAGAGCCAAAAAACCCTCTTCCTTAAAACGAGACATGCACTATCCTTTGTTGTGGAAAAAATATCTTTTAAAGCTCAGTGAGTGTAAAATAAATACTTAACATCAGTTCTGAAAGTTATTACATATTTATTCCTGCAGGAAGGAGGTTTCTCTGAACAGAGTGTCTAATACGGTCTGTTACAGGGAAGCTCAATGAACAGAATGTGACTGCCCTTCTTATACCCAGCATACTATAACAGAAAACAGATGCTCAAACAGATAAAGGAAACAGGAGGTTATTTACTATGGGATACCAGCTCTCAGGTCGCATCTGGTTTTTCTCTCTCACAAGGGCATGCAAAGGTTTATGACCATATGATATACATCTAGTAATGGATTACAAGGTAAATAACCACTAAAAGGGTGCTATCATAAAAATTGCCACCACACCTCAGGCCCTGTATTTTTCTCCACATCCTCTGGTCACGGTGCAGCAGCAGGACTAAAAATATATCCACAAAACTGGGCGCAGTCAAAAAATTCCGCTTTTATTGTGACACCGTGGATATCCTTTTTTTTTTTTTTAAATAAAGCTTTATTGAAAACATGCATATCAAACAAGGCAATTTAACATTTTGCCAATATGGTGGGGGCACCAGTGGATGTTAGGCAAACTCACATGAACACGCAAAGACCTGGATTTTATGCCCATTTGTTAGAAAGAAGTCTCGCTAGCAAGAGTTCGTGAGACGTTTATTAACAGAATTCCTTCTACATACAAATACTAGAACATACGTACACCTCATTTTTAGAACTTTAGGTCACATCTAAGATGATAATTCAAATCAAATCAAATCAAATTTTATTTGTATAGCGCCAAATCACAACAAAAGTAATCTCGGGACACTTGACAAAGTAAGGTCTAGACCTGACTGTTGTCAATATTATTACACAGGGAAAACCCAACAAATCCCCCTTGAGCAAGCACTCGGCAACAGTGGGGAGGAAAAACTCCCTTTAACGGAAGAAACCTCTGACAGAGCCCGGCTCTTGGTGGGCGGCCTTCTGCCTCGACCGGTTGGGGTGAGTGGATAGAGGAGAGACAAAAGAAGAAAAGCAACAAGACACAACAATCAAACACTGATCAGGTCGATGTGGCTGGTGACTGCTCGTCAGAGACATAGAGCTCCAGGGCCAGGGCAACCTGCAGAAAGGTACAGGGAGAGAGAGAGAGGACACACTACGGGAGAGAGGAGACACTGAACTGAGACTGGGAGTTGGTTCCATAGGAGAGGAGCTTGATAGCTAAAGGCTCTGCCTCCCATTCTGCTTCTGTGGACTCTAGGAACCACAAGTAAACCTGCACTCTGAGAGCGAAGTGCTCTGTTAGGATGATAAGGCTCTACGAGGTCTTTTAAGATATGATGGAGCCTTGTTGTAACATTGTATACAAGTCAAACAAGGAAAAGCACCATGGGCTTTTTAAGTCTGACTTCAGTCAAGTCACATGACATGAGTCCCCCACGTGTGTCTTGTGTGCATTTAATATGTTAAAGGATAAGTTCACCACTTTCTATATTAGTAAACTTATGAACACTCCCCATACCGAGACTAAAATGAACAATGATTTGACTCTACTTTACGATGTATGTCGGTTCTGGATTAGCTTGTTTGTCTGTGCCATACTTTTATCATTTTTCAGAAACAATTAAAAACACATCAGGGAAACCCACCGCTGTACTTGTTGACGTTTCATCATTACAAAACACAAAATCTCCATACTTCTTAAAAATGTTGCCCCAGTGGTTCCAAAGGCTTGTAACATTTTACAGCATCTGAAGTAGGCAAGAGTCGGGCGCATGCATGAGATCTGCAGGTAACCAGAAACACTGACTGTGGATCAGGGGATCAAACTTACTTGATTATCCAAATAATGCAAGTGTCAACCAACTCAGTAGTAATTGCCAGGATTCACTGTGGGTCAGCCCCTGGTGGTGAAACTAATGGAATTTGAAACACTTCATGAAACAAGGTGAAACATCAACATGACTTGGCCATTTTTGGCACAAGCAGTGTTTTCACGATATGACAATGTGAGATAATTAGGGGAACAGGGGAGTAGTGTTAGCTTTGTCTGTTTTGTGCATCACTTTGTGTGGGGCCAGAAAACCTAAGAAATGAAGCAGAAATATTTGGAAACTGAACTATTAGAATGTTGTTTTATAGTTGTAGTAAGTAGATGTGTTGGTTTTCTTCTACCTCAGCTAGATGATATTTGTTCTCTGACACTCAGAACAAATAATGAAAATATAAATTGCATTTAATTTCCAGCCAACTTCCTTATAATCACAGTTTTAATGTTTAGTTCATATTTTAAGTCCAAGAAAGGTTGCAGTCTGTGGTTCATTATTCAGTGTTGGTTAGATTTGATTAAATCTCAAGTGTCGTGTATAGAATTAATTCACAGGGAGAATCACTGCAGTGCCAATCATCATTTATTGAACAATATATAGTAATATGGATGGAGAGGGAGAGAAACAGAACCACCTGGATTTCTCTGCAGAGTTTCTGGGGTCTGTCTGTCTTCTCAAGTCTTCACATTCACCCATCCGCTCTTCAAGTCTCAGTCTGTTTCAGTCTGAGTCTCTTCAGCTTTGCAGCATCCTTAATAGCTGTCTATTTCTCAACTTCCTCCAATTGTCCAGGTCTTGCTATCCATCAGGCTCCCACCCTGGTATCACTTCTATATTTTGGAAAACCCCTATGCCTGTTACTGAATAACAGGAAACTAGACCCCATGATCATGCAGAGAGAGAAGTACACAAATGAAATTAAGAATTTTAACCATACTTAAAGTTTAACTAACATTGGCCTAATAAGTATTAACTAAGAAGTATTAACTATATCAAGTTTGCTTTTTCCACTACACAAGTAAAATAAGGTGTGAAGTCATTTTACTCTCAGCTATAGTAGAGTTTCAGAAACATGGCGATAATTGTGATATTTGTGGCTATGTGGTTGGGCCAGTAAGATTATTATTCTGGCAGTTTGGGGGATTAGTGTAAATGAATCCTGTGCTGAGTCAGCGTCAGTACAGGCAGTACAGTCTTTAAATAAGGATAAACATGGATATATGTGTCTGGAAATGTTAAAGCATTCACCTGTAATCTGGTTCACTGAGTGTTACTTGTTCACACTGACTAAATCAGTTTGTCACTGCTTCAGGCTTTAACGTGGAGACGGTGGAGTACAAGAACATCTGTTTCACAGTCTGGGATGTCGGTGGTCAGGACAAGATCAGACCTCTGTGGAGACACTACTTCCAGAACACACAGGTACTGAGCCAGGTCCAGAACCAGCGACTCATCATTTATTAAATCTTTACACTCTAGATATGACCAGCATCACCTCTGAACTCTGATATTGAAAACAACACGGCAGGACATTATTTGATGTGACACCTCATCAACTTTATTCTCTATTCAAAATAAACTCTCACTTCAATCCTGACGTTGCAGCACATTCCAACACAAGTTGGGACAGTAAGGCGTTTACCACTGCGTTATGCTGCCATTCTTTTTCACAACACTTACAAGACGTTTAGGGACTGAGAACACCAAGAGATTCAGTGTGTCTGGTGTAATTTTGACCCATTCTTCCTGCAAACAAGTCCTAAGGTGCAGCAGTTTTGGGTCGTTGGTGACTCAATCTGTGTTTCAAAATGTGCCACACATTCTCTACTGGGGACCGGTCGGAGCTGCAGGCCAGTCCAGCACTTGCCCCCTTTTCCTCCACAGCCAGGCTTTGGTAATGTGCAGTATGAGGTTTACATTGTCTTTTTCAAATCTGCATGGGCGTCCCTGGAAAAGACGTCGTCTTAAAGGCAGCACATGTTGCTCCAACATCTCTGTATTATTCAGCTTTAATGGAGCCATCACAGAAGTGAAAGTGACCTTTGCCCAGGACACTGACACGACCCCAGACCATGACAGACCCTGGCTTTTGGTGTTGTTGCTGCTAACAGTCTGGATGGCCCTCTTCATCTTTGGTCCAGAGCACATGGCATCCATTCCTTCCAACAAAGACCTGAAACACTGATTGGTCTGACCAGAGTCCACGTTTCCACTGTGTGATGGTCCATCCCAGATGCCTCTGAACACAGAGCAGCCGAAAAAGGCAGCACATGTTGCTCCAACATCTCTGTATTATTCAGCTTTAATGGAGCCATCACAGAAGTGAAAGTGACCTTTGCCCAGGACACTGACACGACCCCAGACCATGACAGACCCTGGCTTTTGGTGTTGTTGCTGCTAACAGTCTGGATGGCCCTCTTCATCTTTGGTCCAGAGCACATGGCATCCATTCCTTCCAACAAAGACCTGAAACACTGATTGGTCTGACCAGAGTCCACGTTTCCACTGTGTGATGGTCCATCCCAGATGCCTCTGAACACAGAGCAGCCGAATTCTGGACACTGTTGACATAGGGCTGCCTTTTGGCACAGCACAGTTTTAAGCAGCATTTATGGATCTAACTACATATTGAGGTGCTGGACACAGGTGAGCCAAAGTCATCCTGAGCCCATGTGGTTATATCACTTATAGAAGAGAGATGATTCTTAATGTGGCACTGTCTTGAGAGATCAGAGAGCTTAGTCATCCAGCTGAGGCTCGGCCCTCGGCCTTTACACACTGAAATCCCTCCAGATTCCTTGAATCTTTTAATGATATTCTGCACCACAGAGGGTGACAGATCCAAATCCCTTCTATTTTTCTTTGGGGAACATTGTTTGTAAACATTCTAATGATTTTTCATACTCATATGTTGTTTAACTGGCGGTCCTTGGCCCATCTTTGCTCCTAAAGGACTCGGCCTTTGCTGGATGCCACATTTTTACCAAGTCATGATGCAGTCACCTGTTGACATCAGCTGGTTCAACTGGAGTCATCATTTCATTGTTTTACCTCATTACTGGTCCTGAAATGAAACTAGCCTTAACTTTGTTTGGAATGTGTTGCAGCATCAGGATTGAAGTGAGAGTTTATTTTGAACAAAGAATAAAACTAATGAGGTCTCACATCAAATAATGTGCTGCTGTGTTGTGTTCAGTGTCCTACAGGACACAGAGGATTTACTTATCACTGTTTACAGTTTTCATTTTGATTTTACAGACTGATTTGGGGTTGTAAACGGACTTATACTTTACAGTCTACAGTTCTGGGTCTCCTTTGTCATATTTCTCACTTCATAATGCATTAATTGTTTTCAGTAGGTGACAGATCTGGACTGGAGGCAGGCCAATTTAGCACAGACTCTTATTATGGAGCCATGCTGTTGTCATATATGCACAGGGTGGTTAAGCATTGTTTTACTGAAATAAACAAGGTCTTCACTGAAATCGATGTAATCTGGATGGCAGCATGTTGGACCAAAACCTGTGTATATCATTCAAAATTTATGCTGCCTTCACAGATGTACCTGAAGGACACAGCACCCATGGTTTCCAAAAAGAGTTTTTCAAATGTTGACTCGCCTGGATAGAGGAGAAAGAAAATAAAAGCATCAGGACACGACAAAAACAAAACAACAAACTCTGGGCAGGTTAAAGTGGTCAGTGACTGCTCATCAGAAACATGGATCTAAGTCAATTCCCCCACTTCTTGCTGTGAGTTGTTGCACCAGGTGTTTTTATTTATTTATTTTATTTTATTTTATTTTATTTTAGCATTAGACATCTTTTCTTACTTTTTTTGGAATGTGTTGCTGGCCTCAATTTCACAATAAGTTGAACTTATTCAAAATATATGGACTACATTAATTTGAATGTTAAGATCAAGATCAAATTCACTATATGTGCAGGACATACAGAGAATTGAAATACTGTTTCTCTCTCACCTAGTATTGAATGTCTTACCATTTAGGAAACTAAAATAAAAGTAGAGTAAAATAGACTAATAAGATAACTAAGTCAAAGTGATCTAGGATAAAACTAAACGGTACAACCTCATAGGCTATGACTCAAACAGTACAATCGGTTACAGTAGTGCAAATGACCAACAGCAACAGATATGATGGTAAAAACAAAGCAGCAGATTTACATGCAATATAACAAGAAGGGGGAATGTACTGGGTTTGTGCAAAACAGCAGAGGTAGTCTTTTTATGTTCTGTGGTGGGTTACGGTCCAGGGGCAGAGGAGGGGAGGTAATGGACAGGGTTCAGCATCCTCACAGCCTGGTGGATGAAGCTGTTTGTAAGTCTGGTGGAGTGGGCCTGAAGACTCCGATACCTTCTCCCTGAAGGCAGGAGTCTGAACTGGGAGTGTGTGGGGTGGAAGGTGTCATCAGCAATGCTGATGACTCTGTGGATGAGGCAGGTGTTGAAGATGTCTGTAAGGGAAGGCAGAGGGGCGCCAATCATCTTGCTGGCTGTTTTCACTATGTTGCCCTGGTAGAAAGAGCACATGATGGGGGATGGGGCACTGGCTCTCCTCAGTTTGCAGAGGAAGTAAAGGTGTGTTTGAGCTTTCTTGGCCAGTGATATTGGTGTTTGTCCAGAAGAGGTCCTCAGAGATGTGCCCATGTCAGTCTTGGGCACCTCTAGATTAGCTTTTTCTGTTGGGAAGCATAAGAAAAAGTGCTGCCCTGTTTTCAAAACATCATTCAGTGTGTATTTATAGTTTACACAGCATAACTTTATGGAATTGGGTTGTACAAAAATTAAGGATGGGACAGTATATCGGAATACAGAAATGTCACAATATGTATCAATATGTTTAGTCTAGTGATACAGTGCCTTGCGAAAGTATTCGGCCCCCTTGAACTTTGCAACCTTTTGCCACATTTCAGGCTTCAAACATAAAGATATAAAACTGTAATTTTTTGTGAAGAATCAACAACAAGTGGGACACAATCATGAAGTGGAACGAAATTTATTGGATATTTCAAACTTTTTTAACAAATAAAAAACTGAATAATTGGGCGTGCAAAATTATTCAGCCCCTTTACTTTCAGTGCAGCAAACTCTCTCCAGAAGTTCAGTGAGGATCTCTGAATGATCCAATGTTGACCTAAATGACTAATGATGATAAATAGAATCCACCTGTGTGTAATCAAGTCTCCGTATAAATGCACCTGCACTGTGATAGTCTCAGAGGTCTGTTTAAAGCGCAGAGAGCATCATGAAGAACAAGGAACACACCAGGCAGGTCCGAGATACTGTTGTGGAGAAGTTTAAAGCCGGATTTGGATACAAAAAGATTTCCCAAGCTTTAAACATCCCAAGGAGCACTGTGCAAGCGATAATATTGAAATGGAAGGAGTATCAGACCACTGCAAATCTACCAAGACCTGGCCGTCCCTCTAAACTTTCAGCTCATACAAGGAGAAGACTGATCAGAGATGCAGCCAAGAGGCCCATGATCACTCTGGATGAACTGCAGAGATCTACAGCTGAGGTGGGAGACTCTGTCCATAGGACAACAATCAGTCGTATACTGCACAAATCTGGCCTTTATGGAAGAGTGGCAAGAAGAAAGCCATTTCTTAAAGATATCCATAAAAAGTGTCGTTTAAAGTTTGCCACAAGCCACCTGGGAGACACACCAAACATGTGGAAGAAGGTGCTCTGGTCAGATGAAACCAAAATCGAACTTTTTGGCAACAATGCAAAACGTTGTGTTTGGCGTAAAAGCAACACAGCTCATCACCCTGAACACACCATCCCCATTGTCAAACATGGTGGTGGCAGCATCCTGGTTTGGGCCTGCTTTTCTTCAGCAGGGACAGGGAAGATGGTTAAAATTGATGGGAAGATGGATGGAGCCAAATACAGGACCATTCTGGAAGGAAACCTGATGGAGTCTGCAAAAGACCTGAGACTGGGACGGAGATTTGTCTTCCAACAAGACAATGATCCAAAACATAAAGCAAAATCTACAATGGAATGGTTCACAAATAAACATATCCAGGTGTTAGAATGGCCAAGTCAAAGTCCAGACCTGAATCCACTCGAGAATCTGTGGAAAGAACTGAAAACTGCTGTTCACAAATGCTCTCCATCCAACCTCACTGAGCTCGAGCTGTTTTGCAAGGAGGCATGGGCAAAAATTTCAGTCTCTCGATGTGCAAAACTGATAGAGACATACCCCAAGTGACTTACAGCTGTAATCGCAGCAAAAGGTGGCGCTACAACGTATTAACTTAAGGGGGCTGAATAATTTTGCACGGCCAATTTTTCAGTTTTTTATTTGTTAAAAACGTTTGAAATATCCAATAAATTTCGTTCCACTTCATGATTGTGTCCCACTTGTTGTTGATTCTTCACAAAAAATTACAGTTTTATATCTTTATGTTTGAAGCTTGAAGTGTGGCAAAAGGTCGCAAAGTTCAAGGGGCCGAATACTTTTGCAAGGCACTGTATATATCGTGTGGTCTCCTTACACCAGCAGCTATATATTTTTTTTGTGAATAAGATCGCCTAACATAATGTAAGTCAATATATCTGGTTGTTCTTCACATAATCACACCAGTGCTAGAAAAGGGTGAAAAAGAGAAATAAAGTAGAAGTATTCTACAGCAGGGTATACATTGTCATTGAATTTTTAGTTGCATCATGATTGAATCGAATTGTACACACCATATTGTGCATCCAGTTGTACCAAGAAAAAGTAGTATTATCCCATCCCTAATGAGAGGGTTAGGTGTTAGGCATCTAATTTTCATGTGCATATTTAAGTATTGTAATAATTTGTTTTAGTTTTCAGCTCACTCACAACAAATGCCTAAAGTTAGCATAATGTGCACCATATGATTGCATAAATGTTGACCTGAATAACCAACTATTAGGATGTTTGTTCCTTAGGTAGGCAATTGGTTTTCAATTTTGGGTTCAAATTCAGTATTAGTGTAGCGTTGCCGCACAGTCCTGCCAGCAACACCTACAGTCCTGTTAGAAAAGCTCTGTGTGGGAATCGTTCAGGTATCCGCTTCTGCTGATCGTCACTCTTTGTGCTAATAATGACACCCATTGATCATCATACCAGCTGTCGCTAACTCACATTTACTCTGTGGCCTAAATTTATGAAAGGACTAAATGAAAGTGGCTGTTGCCAGGTTTGTGACCACGACAAACAGACAACACTGTGTGTGCTGTTAGCCGAAGGTCGTTTATGAAGTAAAGCGGCATCACTCTATAACACCACTGAATAATCAGTGAACTGAGTCCTTCTCTGTCATTCCAGCAGCCCCAACAGAGTGAGACGTCTTCATTGGTAAATCTATCAGCCGATCTCACATTGTGTAAATGCAAATGGTTATAAAGATCCCCCCGCAACAAATATCTGCTGATTATTACTGCTGAATGCCTGGAGTCCAGAATTGCCATTCGGGACAGCCCTCCATAAATTGACTCTTCAGTGAGTCAGCTAAGGCCAAAGCTGTGAAGATGTCACATTTCTACAAGCTCATGTTTAACTGCTCACACCATAGCTGCAGGTGTGTTTCCTGTAGGGTTAATGCTGTGGCTGTCCGGTTGAGTAAAAGTAGAGCCACTAGAGTAAAAGTAAATACGCATTGGAATTTGATCGGATTTATTTACCGATAGTGGTCTTTAGGATTGGTTCAGGGCTTCTTGATCTGGTATCTTATGTGGTCACATGACCTCTGATAATGATTACATTGATACTGATGATGTCTGTGTTTTCTGTGCAGGGTCTGATCTTTGTAGTGGACAGTAATGACAGAGAGCGTGTAGCAGAGTCTGCTGAGGAACTTTCCAAGATGGTGAGAAACCCTTAGAAATAAATAATAAAATTATTTTATCTAGTTTATTTGTGCTTTTTATGCATTTTTATTTTCCTGTTTTTATTCATTTATTATGTGTTGATTGGGGTGGAACAGTTCAAGTAAAAATGAGACCTGTTCTGTTTCCTAATCATGTTTTGGGCCGTGTGTTCGGTTCATTTGAAATTGGCATATGCAAAAGTAAATAAATAAATCTAATGTTATTGAACAGAAAAAGCCTCATGCCATCTCAGTGAAACTTAGTTGGCATGAAGTGTCCAGTGCAGCTGTCAGTCAGGGGACAAGACAGAGCATCTGCTAGCATCGCTATGGTGAGACATGAGCGGCGTCAGAGCAGTTGTCTGTCTAATAAACAACAAACTAATGTATGAAAACATGTGCCCCCCCCAAATACCTCCACATGTAGGATTTAAGCATGTGTGAATGCGTTTGATGTTTTTATTACAATAATTCATGTGGGATGTTTTTCCACTTGCAATCTGATGGTTTTGGTGTTTTATTGTGATAAGGCGATGCCTTCGCTAGTTTGAGGAGTTTTATAAAACTTTTATAAAACGTTGTTCCTACTGCTCTTCAGAAAGACCTTACAGACTGAAATGTTAGTACTGACATCAGTCAATGAGGTCATTACACACATGAATTGTAGATCATGACATTCATTAGTCATATGACTGTCTCTGTAGATCCAGGAAGACGAGTTGAAGGAGGCGGTTCTTCTGGTGTTCGCCAACAAACAGGATCTTCCCAACGCCATGGGTGTCAGTGAACTCACCGACAAACTGGGTCTGCACAGCCTGCGCAGCAGAACTGTAAGGATCAATAATCAGTACATCTGTATTTACAGAGAGTTGGCTTAATGAATCCAGACTAATACAAAGTTTTTAGGCTGAAATATTTAATTCTCCACCTGCCAGCCTGGTGAACAGTCACATGGTTGATCTGTTAATCTGAGATCATGTGATCTTAAACACCACTGTGCTCTTATTTTGAAATAAAGACATGGTGACAGTTTTGCATGTTTTCACATTTTACTGCAGGTGTACATGGGTAAGTTAAAACTAGAGAACCTGAAAGGGCTGTTCGTCTAATGGTTAAGATGCACTTGTATAACTACAGCATCCGTACTTCGAATTGAGCTCTCTTGGAGCCATTTTCACACGTGGTATCTGGTCAGATTATTAGTGTTCAGCAGACTGATCTGACCTCAGCAGTGAGTATTACACTGACTGTTTTCTTGTGACAATGACTGAGACATGTGAATTACAGTCTGTTGAAGGCAGAACAAGGCTCTTGTTTCTCTCTCTACATGCTTCCGTCTATGTAAATTTGACTTTTTATGTTATGGCACTTTTAAAACAAATTACTGTTATAACAATAAACCTTTGTTACAAAGTGATGCAGTATTTGAGGAAGACACTCAAAAAGGTTGTAGAATGTGTATAAATTAGTGCTGTCAATTGATTAAAATATTTAATCACATGATTGTCCATGGTAAACTCGCACTGAGTATCTTTACTCAAGTACTGTACTTAAGGTTCAGAGCACAGTTGTCTGTCTGTTGAGGACGTCGCTATTCCAGCTGCACATTATAGCTGCGTTTCCGCTGTCGGAGCTTAATGAACAGTACACCTTGTGATTCCCTTAACCATTGCCCGGCATAACCTCAGGTTGACTCCAGCCGTCGTCCTTTGCTTTTCCACTGTGTGGATCTCTGTTTGGGGAAGGGAGGGGCTGCTCTCCTCTCATACATAGCTGAGCAGAGGACGTGAAGAATCAGTCCGCTGTGCACCGATCAGCCAGTAGCAGAGACTGTTTGAGCAGTTTATCAAACAGAACACAGACTTGCATAAATGTGGCGTCTTCACCGCTATACAGATGTCTAATCGTAGGGTTTTTTTTGTTTGTTGTCTCCTCAGTGGCACGTCTGCTCACTGAAGTCCCCGTTTGACCACTAAGCCAACAACTTGAATGTCTTTTGGTTTTCTGGAATAACTTTCAAACTAATAACGATATTTGCATCATTCCAAATGCCAGCACCAGATTTTCACGGTCAAGCAGTCTTATTATGAAGGTCTCACTGTCATGGGAATACTGACTGAGGCGTTATGGGGAAATGGAGTTGCCCCTTGGTGGAGGTCGCACTCTAAGTGCTTATGTTTTCTGGTTTGGACCTGTTGGAGATAAACTGACTGGAAAGTGACGATCACGGGTGACAAGGTTTTTATATTTTGTGTAGCATTAAAATTTCATCATATAAAAGATGAAATAGGAAGAAAGAAGAGTTCTTTTCAACAGAATTTAGTATGAAATGTTATATTTTGGTAGGTGCTTTTTGATAGTGATTTTGTCTAATATGTGGAGGTTTTATGATGTAACCGGCAAAACAAACATAATTATTGGTTTTTGTCTTTTTTTTGTTGTTGTTGTTGCAATAAATATTTATTATGTTAAGGTATGAGAATTGTACAGATGTGTCTAATCACAGGGTTTTTTTTGTTTGTTGTCTCCTCAGTGGCACGTTCAAGCCACCTGTGCCACTCAGGGTACAGGTCTGTACGAGGGACTTGACTGGCTGTCCAATGAGCTGTCAAAACGTTAACCACCTGATGGGTAGCAGGAAGCAGCAGACTGATGTCACTGACTGATGTCATCATGTACAAACTGAGGAGAAGGATGTGCATTTCACAGGACTTTTTTTTTTTAAGTTATGTCTGTAGGAGGAAGTGATGACATGGACTCTGAGCTCACCTTGATTTCCCATTATCCTCTTCTGTTTTTCCTGCAGATGTTAGGTCTTTTTTTTTTCTTTTAATTTGCATGTTTTAACTGAATCATGTGACAGGAAGTAGAATGGGGTGGGGCTTAAGACAGGTGACAATCACCTGGTCATGTGATGACTCATTCCACAGAGCCGAACCTGAAGGCCTCATCATTCCTTTTTAATGTGAAGAAGAAATGGTGAGACAACGATGCAATAAAGGGTTTTATGTTTGAAAGACTTTTTGGTGTATTTTGTTTAGCTTTTTGTAACAATAATTAAGATCATTAATATTTGTCCAGCAGATTGTAGTTTCAAGTGGATCTGCAGCCCTAAACATCTGAAGTACAGGTACAGAAATTGGTGACAACCACAAACCATAAGCATTTGTTATAAAGTGGCTTATTGTTTAAATGTTGCATTGTGTGAACATTAATTCATCATATATCAAGAAGATATACTTGTTTCAACGAGATCCATAGATTTTGTGTAATGTTGACAACCTTTTGTGATAAAATGACAAAAATCCCACTTTTTGGTATAAGAATGAATATTGCTTTAACAGGACTGCATTAATATATTTTTCATGTCATGACATTTTTTGTTACGAGTACAAAAAGATTTATGTTTTAACCCATTAAAACTGTGGTTCCCACCCTCTTTTGCATGAACAGTCCCTTAAGTCAAGTTAAAACTTCTGCCCACACCTCAGCCCATCTTCCACACACACTTGGTCACTAAGGCCATTGTTTAATGACATTAGCATTTGTTATGAGTGGGAGGTAGTGCCAAATAATGTAACCTACATGCATTGTAAAAATCACACAATACTGAAGAGCCTCTAAGTAAATCTTTCAAACACAAACCTAATTTATCAGTACCTAGTACACATTACTTTTTGAACAAATAAAATTAACACTTAGAGATAAAACTCAGTGTCTGTCAGCATTAATATTACCCAAAGGAGAGTCTTCGGTGTCTAGGCACATTAGTGATTTGCTGCTAATTTCTTTATGAATGGACAGAGGGATGTTAACCTGAGGCTGTGTGCAATCTGAGGCTATCTGATTTAGCTGATTTCTGTACTTTGACTTCATTTAAACTACTTGGCTGAATCCCTGCTTGACCAGATAAGATGCATTCCCAGCTAGGAAGGAACATTCCCACCACTATTCGTAACATTCCCTCCAATTTCTGCAAATGTTACAGATGAAACATTAGTTGAAAACAATGTAATGTTTTCAATGATAAAATGTTGCTGCAATGTTTATTTTTGAACTAATCTATAACATTCTAACTGAAATATTCTAGAAATGTTCTTAGGACATTATGAATGTGATGTCTGTGAACATTGAAGCAGCTTTGTGTATTTAACAAAACGTGGCTGCAACTTTTTGAGAACTTTCTCAGAATGTTGTCAGTGTAATGTGTCTTGGCTAACATTCAGGCAATGTTATTAAACAATGGTATAACCTTGTCTAAACAAATGTTTCTTAGATCACAGACAATGTTACATATTTTACAGTGGTAGAACTTTCATGATTCCAACATTCTGAGAACCTTCTCAAAACATTTTCATTGCCATGTTTCTTAGATAATGTTCAGGCAGTGTTTATATATTAAACAAAGGTAGAACCTTCTCAAGACATTATCAGTTTAATCTTTTCGTGATCACATTCAGACAATGTTATATAGGCTGTGTGACTGTTACTTGTTGCTTCTATTAACATTTGTGAAACTATCAACAAATATTAAGAAATAAGGTAATTATTGAGGAAACAAACCAACTCGACTGTGGTATGACCAAAAATGACTGACTGACTCTTTGACAATCATCTTATCTAATACGTTTGTTTATTTCTATGCAGAGACGGTGATTGTGTTCCCTATCTTTCAGATTGTTGAACTGTTTGAATTATTGTAAGTGATCATTGGAATTAGAATGATTTGCCTGAATTAATTTAGTTCACATAAGACCTCAATGGCCACAAAATCATGGCTGCTGCTGCTGCTGCTCTTGTGCAGGTAAACTTTCTATAGATCCTCCCAGGTGCATGCTGGTCTTGTACCTGAGAAAAGTCACTTCTGCTTCCATGTTAAACAAAAAACCTAAAATGTTTTGTCAGGTATATCACTAATATGTGTGTGTGTGTTTCACCTGATGTGGTATTCACTTTTTGTTGTATAATTATTTGTAACTTGGATTTTGTTTTGGGTTAGAGCTGTTTCTCCCATTTTAAAGTTAACATGGTGTTTGTCCATGCAGATTTTCAGTCATCCAGGTCATAATAGCTGAAAAACCTTAGAAAAATCAGCTGGACTAGAAAAACCTAGTCTAGTTGATTTTTCAGCTAACATGGTGTTTGGTCCTTTTTTCCTTTTTCGATTGGAATGCCTATACAGAGGATGTTTTGAAGCCCAATGAGGCACAGTTCACCTTTGACTTCAGGTGATGTTATTTGATATGCTTTTTAGCCTTTATATTGATTTGAAACACCTTGAATTGTTTTTGTGTATGAAAAGTGCTTCACAAACAAAACTGACTTGAAGTGACTAAAAGTGCTTACCTACCGCCTGAGGTGCTGCAGCCAATTAAATTAACCCAAGAAAACAAGTAACAGAAATCAAAGCAAACTAAAGAAACATCTAAGTAAATATATTGTATCTGAATAATAATGATTATACAAGAGTAAAGAATCTAGCCACAGGGGTGTCAAGCCAGTGACTTCTGCACCGGGCCCAAGCCTGGATAAATAGAGATAGCTGTGTCAGGAAGGGCATCCAACATAAAACATGCCAAATTTAAACGTGAATTATCAGTTTGGATTCCATACTGGATCGGCCGGGGCCCGGGTTAACAACAACCGCCACCAGCACTGTTGACCTACAGGGTGCTGATGGCAATTGGACTACTGTTGGTCGAAGGAGAGGAGGCAGAAGGATTTGTAGACAGAAGAGGAAAGGCAGGAGTATAGGTCTGAGAATAGGGACTCTTAACATTGGCAAAATGACAGGGAAAGGTAGAGAGCTGGCGGACATGATGGAGAGAAGGAAGGTAGATATACCGTGTGTGCAGGAGACCAGGTGGAAGGGTAACAAGGTGCGTAGTATTGGAGGGGGATACAAACTGTTTTATTATGGTGTGGATAGGAAGAGAAATGGGGTAGGAGTGATCCTGAAGGAGGAGCTCGTGAGGAATGTTTTAGAGGTGAAGTGTCAGATAGGGTGATCAGTTTGAAGTTGGAAATTGAAGGGGTAATGTTGAATGTAGTCAGTGGCTATGCTCCACAAATAGGTTGTGAATTAGAAGAGGAGAGATTCTGGAGTGAGTTAGATGAGGTGATGGAGAGTATTCCCAGAGGGGAGAGAGTGGTGATTTGAGCAGACTTCAAAGGGCATGTTGGTGAGGGGAACAAAGGTGATGAGGAGGTGATGGGCAGGTTTGGTGTTAAGGAAAGGAACTGTTAGATTTTTACCCGGTTCTTTTATTGAAAGCACGAGAAGAGAAGACAGGAGAGGACTGTATAAAATCAACAGAAATTTTACTCAAAAGTCTGGGCACAGGTGAAGTCATACTGCGCTGGAATCAGAGACAGAGCTCCTGCAAGAAATCCATTCTCTGAACCACGAGTTAGGTTTTCTCATTACATTTATCTTCTCGGGCTCAGTCTGCCCTGTACAGAGGTACGTTTCATGCTTCATAATTCTATTGGCCATTTGGAGTTAGCAGGTCAACCCCTGCCTGCGCCTGCTTGCTGAAATGTGATCTAAACCAGGTGTGTATGTGTGTGATTTTCAGGCGGCAGCTGAACACTGAACAATTGGTTGTCTGCGCTGCAGACCCCCTGTCTGTGTAATCCTATTACAGGACAAAGCAGGACCTTGTGAGTATGCTAAACGGGCCTAGGTGGAGGTGCAAAACAGGCCAACAGGTCTTTGTTAAAATGTAAAATAGGCCCTCTGGTTACTTGAAGGTACAGACATCCTGTCTCCACAGAATTTGCAGCATACAGTTCCAAAGTTTCACTCAGTAGAATATGGCAGTCATCAATACAGTTTTAGTATATATAAGCAAAGAAAAGTAACTAAATGAAACTAAAGTTCTGAAAAGTAACTAAAGGAAAATAAGTTATGAAAAGTAGCTAAAGTTTATAAAGTAACTAGAGCCTATAAGTTCAAATCTTACAGAACCTAGAAGGACAGATGGTGGTGGACTTTGCTAAGAGGATGGAAATGGCTGTAGTTAACACTTATTTCCAGAAGAGGGAGGAACATAGTTACATATAAGAGTGAAGGTAGGAGTTATTCAGGTAGACTACATTCTACCATAATTTCCAGACTATAAGCCGCACCCACTAAACGTAAGATGAAAAAACATGTTGTACAGTGCCTTGCGAAAGTATTCGGCCCCCTTGAACTTTGCGACCTTTTGCCACATTTCAGGCTTCAAACATAAAGATATAACACTGTAATTTTTTGTGAAGAATCAACAACAAGTGGGACACAATCATGAAGTGGAACGAAATTTATTGGATATTTCAAACTTTTTTAACAAATAAAAAACTGAAAAATTGGGCGTGCAAAATTATTCAGCCCCCTTAAGTTAATACTTTGTAGCGCCACCTTTTGCTGCGATTACAGCTGTAAGTCACTTGGGGTATGTCTCTATCAGTTTTGCACATCAAGAGACTTAAATTTTGCCCATTCCTCCTTGCAAAACAGCTCGAGCTCAGTGAGGTTGGATAGAGAGCGTTTGTGAACAGCAGTTTTCAGTTCTTTCCACAGATTCTCGAGTGGATTCAGGTCTGGACTTTGACTTGGCCATTCTAACACCTGGATATGTTTAGTTTTGAACCATTCCATTGTAGATTTTGCTTTATGTTTTGGATCATTGTCTGGTTGGAAGACAAATCTCCGTCCCAGTATCAGGTCTTTTGCAGACTCCATCAGGTTTCCTTCCAGAATGGTCCTGTATTTGGCTCCATCCATCTTCCCATCAATTTGAACCATCTTCCCTGTCCCTGCTGAAGAAAAGCAGGCCCAAACCATGATGCTGCCACCACCATGTTTGACAGTGGGGATGGTGTGTTCAGGGTGATGAGCTGTGTTGCTTTTACGCCAAACATAACATTTTGCATTGTTGCCAAAAAGTTCGATTTTGGTTTCATCTGACCAGAGCACCTTCTTCCACATGTTTGGTGTGTCTCCCAGGTGGCTTGTGGCAAACTTTAAACGACACT